CTCCATCTCTGAGGGGATCCCCGGGCTGTAAACCCCCCTGGTTTGGGGGTCCCCGGGCTTTAACTCCTCCCCTCTGGAGGTCCCCCGTCTGTAAACCCTCCCGGTTTCGGGCTTCCCGGGCTTTGATCTCTCCGTTTAGGGGGGTCTCTGGGCTATAACCTCCCCGTTCGGGGGAGTCCCGTTGCTTCCGCCCCCCCTCGCTGCCCCCGCCGGCCGCGACACGTGTCGTGACATGCGCGGCCCAGATGGAGCCCGGCGGGGGCAGGAGGGAGAGGGGGAATCTTTGAAACGGGACCCCCAAACACACCGCGAGGGTGGAGCGACCCCTCCAAAACCCCCCACGGGGACAGAGCGACCCCCTAAACCCCAGCCGGGGCCGGAGGTTCTCTCGTTGTCCTCCTCTCGTCCCCGTGTCCGCCCGCGCCCTCCCGGTGCCGGGATTTGTGTGTCGTCCCCGCCCCGGGTGTCGGGATTTGTCCCCCCCCAGTGCCGGATTTGCCCCCATCCCTTGGTTTCCCCCCAGACTTCCCGCGGAAGCGGAAGCGCAGCCGCTGGAACCAGGACTCGCTGGACCAGAAGACGGTGATCCCGGGGATGCCCACGGTGATCCCGCCCGGGCTGACGCGGGAGCAGGAACGCGCCTACATCGGTAACGGTTTGGGGGAGAAACAGGGGCTTTTGGGGTCACAATCCCCTGGCTTTGGGGTTAAAACCCCTCCGGGATTGGGTGTCAGGACACACCTGGGGTTTGGGGTCAGAACCCCCCCGGGACTGGGGTCAAAACCCGAGGTTTGGGATCAGACCCTTCTGCCCAGGCTGCACCCCCACATCGGTAATTCTGGGGTCAAATCGGGAGGAACCTGCCAGGGTTTGGAGGCAGAACCCCCCCCTCGAGATTTGGAGTTAGAACTCCAGGATTTGGCATTAGAACTCCCACGCCTACATCGGTAACACCCCCAAATTTGGGGTTAAAACGGGGGGAGTTGGGGTCAGAACCCTGAGGATTTGGGGTTGGAATCCCTGGGGGTTTGGAGTCATAACCTCCCCCCTCCCCAGATTTGGGGTCAGAACCCCCTGACTGGGGCTGGGGGCAATGGGAGGGCAGAGCCCCCACTGTCCCCCAGGAGTCACTTTGGTGTCTCTCAGCCACCAGCCTTGGCCAAAATTCAGGAGTTTGGGCCCAAATTGGGCCCTGGGGGACAGTGACTGCCGTGTGACCCCCCAGGCTGCCCCCAAATTCCTCCCCAGTTACCAACAGAAGTGACCTCTGGGGGTGGGGAATGGATTGGGCTGAAACCTGCAGGTTTAGATAACAATGTGCAGTTTTAGCAATAATGTGTCACTTTAATGCAATAATGTCTTTATTTTGGTTATCAGTGTTCGGTATTTGATGGTAACGTGCTGTTCAGGTGTCATGTGTGTTTTAAGGTGGCAGTGTTCTTTTGGTAACATGTGCTTCTGATACACTGAGGTATTTTAGATAATGATGTCTGTGTTTAATGTAATTTCCTGTTCTAGGTAATAACAGTTGTTTTTTTTAGTAATTTTGTCTTTTGGGTGATGTGGTTCTTTTAGGTAATAATGTCTGATCTTTAGCAATGTCCTGTTTTAGGTAAAATTGTGGTTCATTTAGGTAAAACTGTGGTTTTAGGTGATAACATTTACCTTTTTAAGTAATAATCTCGCTTTTTAGGTAACAGTATGGTATTTTAGGAAATAATGTCTTTTTTTGACTGATAATCTTCTGTTTTAGGTAATAATGTCTGGTTTTACAATAACAATTTCTAGTTTTTCCATAGTAATGCTAGGAGGTTTGGTAATAATGTGCTTTTTTGGGTAATAATGTGAATTTTTTGGTAATATGATTTTTTCTTGGCAATAACCTGCTTTTTTTTGGTAATGATGTGCTTTTTTGGGGGAATAATGTGCTTTTTGGGTAATAACCTGCTGTTATTGATAAGAAGGCCTATTTTTCTGCTAATAATGTCAATTTTAGGTGATAACCCCTGGTTTTTTCTCACCATAACGTTTGGTTTTAGGGCAGTAATGCCTGTTTTTGGTGCCACGGAGCCGGTGTAGGTAGAAAGTGGAGTTTTAGCCCGGCCGAGCTGGGCTGGGGCAGGATGTGGGGGAGGAATGTTGTTTTGGGGCGAAATGTGGGTGTTTTGTAACTGTGTCTCTCTCACCTCTCCGGGACCGGGTTCCTTCCAGTGCAACTGCAGATCGAAGACCTGACCCGCAAACTGCGCACGGGAGACCTGGGCATCCCCCCTAACCCC